CAGCAAACAAACTTGCCTATGATTATGTAATTCTGAGGCTTGTTTTATCTTCGTGGATGCGTTTGCATTGTGCGTATGCAATACTTTCAACTCATTTGGCTATTTCGAGCTCCATAGCAGACTCCAGTTTAATCAAGCCGTTTTCTCTTAATACTGGCATACCTTCCATTTCGTTTTAGAAGGCGGGTGGAAGGTATTCGTTGCACCGCTTTATTATATTTACTTTATTCTACAAATGACTACTTAATAGTTCAAATGTTCATAACAGTCGAGAGCATAGAATCTGACAGAGAAGATCAATCTGCAATTACGCCATTTATGGTGGGCATGGATAGGGCAACAGATTGTGGGCCGAAAATTCTCACTTTTTATACTGTAACTTTGGTGATATGTGAAATAACAGCTTTTATTTTTGAGGAGGAAATTTTACAATTAGATGCTTGCTGCTTCGGATACTGATTTTCACTGCGTTATACATCCCAAAAGTGCAACCTCAGCTTGACTAGGATCTCATTAGAATGCGGACGGGATTCTGACCCAGGATATACAGGGAGGCAAGACCATGTGTCGTCTGAGGGGGGGGAGTAACGTATGTGGCTTTACTCTAATAACTGCCTCTATCACTACGCGATGAAAGGTGTAGCTTTATTATAATTATGCCCATTTCCTTCGATGCTCATGTTGAGTCAGCACTTTAATTTTTATTATAAGCTTCAGTTTTGTTGGAGTATTAATTGATAGTTGCCTGACTTTCAAGCTTGAAATGACCTGTTCTGATCAGAAGTTGTTGCATAATCAGGTTTATACTTAAGTATTTTTATCTTTATATTTTTGTGATTTTACTTTTATACACATAATTGCATATGCATCCAACATATTAACCAATTTGACCCTAGCGGGCAGACCGAGATCCTAACTCTTGTTGAATTGAGAGGCCACGAAATTGGCAAATTGGGAAATAAAAGGCAATTGAACTTATTTTAAAGAATTGAGCCTAAATACGTGTATAGGCTCGATATAAGCTTGATTGTGTTGCCGTGGCGAAGGACTGCTTAAAGCTGTAAAAAGATATGGAGAGTCATAGACACAGAAAGGTTCAAACGCCTGATCCCATATATCAGATTTCAGTAGCATTTTAAGTCTATCCTCTCCAGCTACATGTGACTCCCTGCATTCATGTGGGGAGGCATCCAAATTGCAAGCCTTTAGAACTGCTCAGTTCAGTTTACGTCGAGGGCTAGTTCCTCTTCCTACGCCTAAGGAAATGGGAATGATGCCTTGGGGACATTCGAGCGCTAAAGAGAAGGGTTTGGGTCTCTTTTAGAAGCTTATCAGCTTCACACTGAATATTTGGACATAGTGAACTATTATCAATATAAGGTGATACAGTAATGATGGTGAGCTTTCTAACACTTTTTGTCGCTTCAAAAGGGCTCTAATCCAAGCCTGACTGCACTGACAATTCGACTTCGCTTTGACCCTATCAGCATCTCTAGCGGGAGTCTAAACTGCAGTCTATAATCTCGAACATGTTACCACTGCGCCACACTGCCACGAGGGTTAGTCAGTCAGGGGTCAGAGATTAATTTCAAAGCAAGCTAGGCCTCTCTTATATCACATTTTTATCATGGTGGGTTAGTCGCTGGGGCAAACATTCGTATTTCATTTATAATTGACGAAATTGGATGAATACATCTTATAAACATGTATTTGCCATTCCAGTCGACAATGTTACTTGTATTAGAATTGAGTAGGATATCGAGATCTTAAACACAGGTTCGATTCCAGCTGGAGATGATGATGATGAGACCTGAGAGGGGTCGAAACTGAGGTCCAGTCCAGTCGGGATGTTAATAACTTTTGAAAGAAAGGCTAAGTGAATTTCAATTGCATAATGGGGCCAGGCCATTTGATTTAGGTAAAGTTTACCATCATTCCTTCTTCACCTTAAACAACCTAGGCTGACTAAAGCTTTCATTCTCTTGGCTCTGCTTGCCTTGCCGGCCCTGCTCGCAGACCTTGAGGGTGACTTATGCGAAGCGCATCTTTACAACAGGCAGTGAAACTCTGAGGATTTAAACAGCTCAAGCATTTCATAAATATAAGGAAATGAGCTAAATACACGGAAATTTTCGATTTATCGCTTTTAAAATTTGTCCATTTGTTGAATCTTCTTTTAATCACCACTCTTGTGGGAACTGTATTTTCTCTCGAATAAATTTATCTTATCAAGTCACAACGACGAAGAGCCGGGGGTTATTTTCTTTCCTACACCTTAGCATGACTATCTTATTTCACACTCTTTTTATCACAATTAGGCCTGGGTGCTTCGCAAAAATGTTCTTGTTTTCCTCGAAGATATGGACACTTTATGGGTTGTGTTTTTGCCTATTCCCGACCATGCCCTCTTTTCGCTCCTAGCCGGACCACTTCTATACCTGGTCCCAAAGTCGCCTGCCACCTGCCACACAGCTGTCCTTGTCCGAGGCGGTCAAGCACAATCTGTCTCATCCCCATCAGCCAGTGGCGTCAGGACTTGGCAACACCATCATGGACAAGAGTCTCGGATGGCCGGAGTCAGGGGTTATCCGACGCCCTGAAACCGAGGGTAAGAGACACTGGAGGACGGCCCCAACGTCTCTTGGTGACTCGGAACAAGATGAAATTATGGGGCCTGGCGAGGAGCGGCTTTTCACTGAGACCGAGCTGAAGGTCCGTCTGGCGCGTCTCCGTGACGAGCACATAGGCCAGCTACAGCAGCTGGCCAGGGAGCACGAGCTGCGGCTTTACCGGGTGAGCACGAGTCGGATACGGGACTCGGGCCAATTGCCAATTGCCAATATTGGCATGGCTTTGGCCGAATAGTTTCTTGTCACCTTTTAGCTACGAACTTGTAAGGAGTCGGCAGGCTCACATCCACGTAAGTCCAGCTAAACCGCTGTCAGTCTAACAAGGTGACAGCATTTTGAAATAGTACTCTACACTGCCAGGGCTCGATTTGCGTTGGCGAAACCCTGGAGGAGAATACCTTCTGAAATAAAGGCTAAGTGAGTTTAATTTGCAACGTGGGGTCTACTCACTTGATTGCGAGAAAAATCAACTATCAGACCTTCATTATCTTACGCATTCTAGGCTGATTAGAACCCTTACTCAAGATCATCTGCTAGCCTCGAGACCTACTTACCGTGAATATTGGTCCTCCAAAGCCTCTCATCTGTGAGAAATGCGTTTTGCCAGGCCAGCATAGTAGACATGAAGAAAGGTCGTGCTTCAAAGGGTCTCTTGGTTTTCATGTGTTGATTTCACCTCACTTTGGCTCAAAAGTGTTTAATGAATAGTATTGTAGGCCGATCTTACCGGAATACGACGAAGAGGTATCTGGGAAGTTCTGGTTTATGAGGCCTTCGAGGCACTCTCCTTCGGTTGCTATAGGAACGATCTCATGTTTCATCCGCCATGAGACTTGGCAGACATCATCGAAGCTGGATACCATCGTTGCGACCCATTTAAGCAGATGAATAAAAAACTCATCGACTTATCTCTATATGTTGCGCATGCACTCCAATCCTATTGGTTTTTGTGAGCTATGGATCGATGTGATTTATTCATGTCATATATCAACTAAAAACTATGCACGCATGTGTACTCAAGGCTACGAAGCCAAGACTGGTTGCTCCATGTGTTTATGACAGAAGAAGAGATTTGCCCCTGGCCAGCAAGATTTGATGGCTCTTTTTTAATGGTCCATCTCTCTGGTTGGGTAATACCGAATACGAGCCTAGAAATCGAAGGTATGAAGATCAAGATGGTCGCAGTCTTCTTTCGTTGTATATTAGTTGTTTGTCCTTGTTTTCCCAACTTGATCATATTGTCAGGGCGACGTAGAGAAACGCCCCATGTTCAAATCGTGGACTTGGTGCATTTGTAGACGTTTCGCATTGTAGTCGAAATCGTCAGTGGGTCTTACCAATCTTAGCTCTACACTACAACTCGCTAAAGAGACAATGGAAGTCGACCCTTTGACCAATTGTCTGCTAAACAGTTATGGTATCTCTCCTTCTGTCATAGCCTATTCACCTATCCTATAGCCTCTTATCACTTCTTCGATATTACAATTTATTACTTGTTTATCTAAACCTATGAGATGTATTCACCCAATTTATTTAAGGAGATGAAGGACTGGTAGAAGAATTTTCCCACAGTGATATCAGTTGAGCTGACGTTTCCATTTAATTTCACATAGCGTTGCTTCCTCAATAGTTGTTCCCATCCAGGCTGAAGTGGACTGCAGTTTCGACCTCGCATCGGTCTTATCAACACCCTCAGCGGGAGTCGAA